AACCGAGCTGCTGTCTCCTGGCAGGGATTTCATCTACTACAACGACGTCCACTCCTTCTCGCTGGACTCCTTCTGCTGGTCGCGGCTGGCCCCCTCAGGCTCCGCCCCCTGCCCGCGCTCCGCCTGCCAGATGACGCCCACGCCGGACGGGTCGGGGGTCATCGTCTACGGAGGATACTCCAAAGTGGTGCGCGCGGCGCTCTGATTGGCTGCTCTCTGATTGGCTGCTGGTTTCTGATTGGCTGCTCTCTGATTGGCTGCTTTCTGTGCAGAGGCTGAAGAAGGAGGTGGAGAAAGGGACCATCCACTCCGACATGTTCCTCCTGCGGCGGGAGGGAAAAGACGGCCAAGGTGCCCCCCCCCCCCGCCCTGCCCGAGGTCACGTGACCGGTCATGTGACTGACCTGCCTGTGTCTGTGCTGCAGAGCGGTGGTCCTGGTCCAGGGTCAGCCCGGCGGGCAGCAAGCCGGCCCCCCGGTCGGGCTTCTCCCTGGCGGTGGCCCCGGGGGGGCGGGCGCTGCTGTTCGGGGGCGTCTGCGACGAGGAGGAGGACGAGACGCTGGAGGGAGACTTCTACAACGACCTCCACCTGTTCGACACGGCCAGGAACCGCTGGTTCCCCGCCGTGCTCAGGGTGAGCGGGGCCGGGAGGCTTTAGAAAAAAAAAAAAAGGATTTGTTTATTTTATTTGTTTATTTTTTACAATATCTTTTATTTCTAAACCAAACGCAACTTCATCTGCCGTCTGCAGAGCTCTAAGCTCCTCCCTCAGTTACTGGACTGCTGCCATTATTAATTCAAAGTGTTTAAACAGTTAAACGGCTGAACTCAACCAGCTGAATCTCCTCTGGAGCTTTCAGTTTTAGACGCTCCAGGTCTCAATATTCAGATCAAAGTCGTTTTGTTAAACTTAAAAAAATCTCCTTATTTTGATAAAATGACCCTTTTTCATTTTAAATCTTGAGCCAAGAAGAGATTTCTGACTTAACAAAATGTTTAAAGCTGTACATGAGTTTTTTGTTACTGAAATTTAAATCGATATTCTTTGGTTGTTTTTGCGGTAATGATTTGTTTAATCAAAATGGCTTCATTAATGAGAAAAAAAACTATTTATTTGGTGGAAATCATCTTGTGGGTTCAGCAAAAAATGATTTGGTGGGAAAAAATTATCCAGAAAAATCAGAAAACAGATTTCTTTTATTGATTTCTTTTAAATTGTTTAATTAATTGTTTAATTAATTAGAAAAACAGATTTTTTTAGTGTATATCCCCTCAGTCGGCCGGCTTTTGGGCTCCTCTCAGAGCGTCTGACCCCTTTTGTTCGGTTTTCTGTCTCAGGGATCGAAGACGGAGAAGAAGAAGCGCCGGCGGGGGAAGAAGGGAGGAGCCGAGGGGGAGGGGGGGGAGGCCAGAGGGGAGGAGGAGGCGGCCCGCGGCCCCACTGAGGTCATCAAGGAGCTGGTCACCGAGGACGGGACGCTGATGACCATAAAGGAGGTGCTTCCTGCTCCTGCTCCTGAGGAAGAGGAGGAGGAGGAGGAAGAAGAGGAAGAGGAGGAGGAGGAGGAAGGTAGCAGGACACACTCAGGGCTGCCGGGCCGAACCGCTGGTTCAGCAGAACCCTCACGCCGCTGTGGCTCCGCCCACCAGGTCCGGCGCCGGAGCCCTGCCCGCGGTCCAGCGCCATGGCAACGGTGCGGCAGGGCCGGCTGTTCCTGTACGGCGGGATGTTCGAGGTGGGCGACCGGCAGTTCACGCTGGGAGACTTCTACAGCCTGGACCTGCACAAGATGGACCGCTGGGAGGTCCTGGTCCAGATGGACCCAAGTGAGGCAGCCGGAGGGGGCGGGGCTTAATCTGAGGGGGCGGGGCTTAGTCTGAGGGGGCGGGGATTCATCTGGGCTCACGATTTTCTGTCTGTACAGAGACGCAGGAGTGGCTGGAAGAGTCTGACTCTGAGGAAGAGGAGGAAGAGGAAGAGGAGGAGGAGGGGGCGAGAGGGGCTGAAGGAGAGGAAGAGGAGTCTGAAGAGGACAGCGAGGACGAGGAAGGCAAGAGACCGTCCAGCATCCCTGATCGGACTCGTTTGTTTTCACAGAAACTCCGATCAGATGAGATCTGAGGGCAGATTCTTATCTTTCATAAAGCTTTCCGAGGCCTCTAAATGAGCTGCGTTGAACCTTTTGACACTAAATCAGAACCGTTATCGTTCCAGATGTTCTGTTTTACTTAACTCTCTCTCTCTCAGAGCGTTGGTTAAAAGTAAATTATTTAAAGTTTCCAACAAAAATAAACCCCAGCTTGCCTCATTTCTAATCACTTTATTCTCACACAGTTATTTCTCATTTGGGTGAAATGTGAGTGATTCATTCTGTAACTGAAGACGAAGATGGACACTGGTCCCTCCACCTCTGACCCTCCGGTCTGTGTGCAGAGGCGGAACAAGAGCACCCGGCCGTGCAGGACGGCGAGACGGCGGCGGCCTACCAGGCCCGGACGGGCGAATACTGGACGGCGCTCGCCCGCGCCAACATGGGCGCCGACGCCAAGGACAAGAAGGTGGCCAAGGTGGCGGCCGCCATGGCTCAGGTCTTCTACGAGGAGCAGTAGGGGAGCGCTTTGTCCAATGTCTTTTATAAAAACTCAAATAAACTGTGCGTTTAAACACATTTTTGCTGCTTTTATTTGCTGCCTCTGACTTCCGTTAACTTACAATAAAGAAACTTTACTGAAACGAAAAGTTAAACATCAGATTTCCACTCTTAGAGGGGAACAGTAATCATTATTTTGAATAATTCATTTATTTTTAATTAAACCATATGATTTTAATTAATTTAATATTAATTTAATTTAAATACATTTTTACATTTAAAAATAATTGATATGTATATATATAAAACATTATTTTAACTAATTAGAAATTATTTAAAAATTAATTTTAGGAGGAGGGCCAGAGCAATGGAGGGGGTGTCCCTCCATAGCCTGTTTTACCCTCCATCAGCAGCCTGAACGAGGGATGAGGGGAGATGTGACACAGGAGCTGCTGATGGAGAAAAATGGCCTCTGAAATGGTTAGAAAGTGCTTCTGGGATCTTCTTTCGGAGGTACTTTTGCCTTCTGTCCTGCCTATCTGCAACATCTAAATGAAAAACATAAAAAAGCTTGAAAAGAGTTGCCTTTTACAACTTTCACAGGTTTAACAGAGCGCAGCTTTCAGGCTGCTGGTGGAAAAATGTTTATGGTCGTCCAAACATTTAGGGTGATACATAAAAAATGCCCCATTCAGAAGTCACATGACCAGTTAAAAGATAATTTTGCGCCTTTAAACTCCTCGGACCTACAAGGGAAAATCATAATTCTGCTCTTCTCTCTTAATTATTTAACAATGAATTAATTTATTTATCAATTCTCTCAATGAATTAATTTAATTCCTCTTATTTTCTGGTAATTAGCTGGAGTTATCAGCCACCAGCAGGGAGGATTTAGGGGCTCATTTCTTCTCTAAAAATGTCTGTATTCTCATCCCGGTTGCAGACGTTTGCAGTTGGAGTGAAAGAACCAAACCTGGACCGGCTCCACCCGGTTCGGATCCAGCTTTTTAGACTTTGACGTCACTTAAAACTGACACCAGGCAACGTGTCAAATATCAGGATTTATAGGGATTCTAATGTCATTTTAAGGCGGCTGAAGCCTCCCGAAAACCGTGAGCAGGTTTACTGCTGTTCAAACTTTTCCTGAAAGTGGAATCTGGTGGCCTGGTGCTCACAGCCATGCTAACAGGGACAAAAACACAAGACCCCACAAATAAAAAAACAGAAAAATGTTCAGAACAGAGATAAATGAAGGTGATCAGCAGGTGGGACTAACAGGCCACTGAAAGGTAAAAACACATGAAACAACCTTAAAATGCTGAAACACCGGAGTGTTCTGTTGTTTCTGTTTACCTACAAAAGGGGGCATTAAAAGCCCTTAAAAGAGGATCCAGGATCACATGCAGACCGAGTCTAACCTGCTTTTAATGTCTCTTAAAAATCAGCTAAGGGGGCAAAGCTACTTTACATATAATTTAACACAGAACAAAGCTGAACATGTCCGTTTGTTGCTTTGCAAACTACTCAGAAACACAATTTCTCACCTCGGGAAGTTGCTTTGTTACAGTTTTTGTCATCAGAAACTGCACAGCTCCAGGCCTCCAAACGAACGAGCCGGATCCTTTTTTACTCTCAGCTGATTTTCCCTGAGAGAAACGGAGCCTCTCCCTCAGTTTTGACTGAAAATAATCTTTTCAAACGTCTGGAAGCGACGCGTCCGCTTTAGGCTTTGAGCTTCTCATTTCTGAGTCTAATGGCATTTTCAACTGTTTTTTTTCTCGGATTGCGATGAAATATTTCTTTTAAATGAAGACAGATGTTGAGGATTTGTGAGCAGACTTTGAAGCTGCCAGCGTCTTTAAGTGGTAATCCCTTTGTCATGGTAGGGGAATCACACTAACGCTGTCCCTCTGCTGCGCTCTCATTAACCTCCTGGCCTTCTCCGTCTTTCTCACTGTCCTACCAGTGTGTTTAAAGGCCTTAGCCTTAATCCCCAAACTCACAGTGATTTTATTACTGTAATCTGGCCTGGAATTGGCTTAACTTGTCTAGACGCTGGCAGGCAGAGGGACAGCGGATGGACGTTGTTGGGGAGGACACAGGGAAGGATGACCGTGTGAGAAGAGGCCGGAGGGGCTTCGGGCCACGTCAGAGGCTCGTTTTTGCATCGTTTTCCGTCACGTTTTCCGAGCGGACGTTCAGGAACAAACAAACTGACACTAAGCTGGCAAACAACTTTCTCCTAACTCAGAAAAGTGGAAGCAAAACCAGAACTCTGAGGCACTTATTTCACATTCATCGAACGAGCAGGAATTCTCGCTTGTAGTCGCTGATTTTAAAAGGGAGAAAAATCCTCTGTCGTCTGCGTTCTGTTATCAGCTGGAGGGACTCAGTACCTCTGGTCTCATAAGCTGCTTACACTGCGGTTAACCCGTTACAACCTGAGCTGACCTCTAAACATGGGAGCTGGGACTCTCTCAGGGGTTAATGGACAGAAATGGTTTTCCCAATCTCTGCTGTTATGTAAGCGAAGACCAAATGGTTTGATCCAGAAGGAGCTCCACCGAGGGGATCAGCCAGGGTCAAACCCAGGGACCAGAAGTGGGACAAAACAGTTGCCTCCCAATAAGGTATCACACAGGAAGAGGCAGTCCGGTTTTACTGAGTTTTTGTTACAACATTTTAACAAGAAATCCTCCAAAATCTGCATGGTTTTGTAATGAACACAGAAAAAAGGAGACGTTTCTGTTCACCGTCCGATCAGCTGCAGCAGGATCAGCCATGGTGGTGACAATAGGCCTCCTGTGGAGAGAAAATCGACTAAACATCGACATAAACGCGCCATAAACCGATGTTTTGGGGATCCAGGCATCTAACATGAGCGTCCGCTCTCCAAACTGTATAAACATTGAAGGTTTACACAGATTTTTAGCTTCCAGACACAGATGTGGTCACTTCCTGCTCAAAAAGGCTCCTCTGGATGTAAAACTATCAGCTGACAAGACTTCAATGCACCACAGGTGGTGCATTAAGGTGCCAGGAGAAAGCTGGGACATCTGGATTTGATGGAGCTGAGGAGTAACAGGACGGTCTGCAGCGGCTTAAGGCCCCAAATCACCTCCATCAATCCCGACAATCCAAAGGTCTTAGTGATAAAAAGGAGATTTTACTGAAATTTTGGGTGTTTTTTGGGGGGAAACAGCAGCAGTGCTGTTTAGGAGAGGTTGAGATGAGGTGATGTCATCTGAGATCATGAGTTTAAAGCTGGAAACGGCAGATAGAGCTGCACGTCTGCATATAAAGAACATGAGAAATAAAAGACACGTATTAAACACAGTTTTCATCAATTACTGAACAGCTTCATCCTTATTTTTCCACACATGTATTAAATTATTTAACTGTTAACAGTTGTTAATCTCGCTGTTAAATAAAATAATGTCGATTTTGCGCGATTACACAGAAAAAACTGTGTTTCAAGACCCGAGAAGAAGTCCAGGTCCCGCTCCTGGGCTTTCTGTGACCTGGATGACTGAGGATCTGCTCCTGAAGGGCCTCTGGAGTCATTTCTATGCAGATGATCCCCGGCTTTATCCCCCAGACGGCTCCGGGTTTGTCACATGTTTGATATGAAACATGGCTGCTGACTTAATTCTATCTGCTCACTGTGCTCTTTGTTTGTGTTTTTTTACTGCATTATCTCCACCTTTAGGAACAAGTTGAGGCTTCAATCAAAACAAACCCTTTGATGAGGCACTGATTCAAACCAAAGCGCCGTTAGCAGGCCTGAGCAGAACCCTCATTCAGAGCAGATCCATTTAATCTGAATCCTCAGAAAAACCGGCAGAGCCATTAGACATGGACGTCCCTGCTCTGCGGGGTGTGGAGGACAAAGCCCGTCGATTTCTTTTTGTTTGGCCCTTCGGATGAAGTCTCTGAGGTCAGGAAAGAGAGGCAGAAACACAGAAACGGGCCGTAAACGCTGGCAAAGCTACAGGTGATGGAGGGAGGAGGAGAACGCCGCCTCCACGCGGGGCCTGTCTCTTTAAAAGCTGGAGCGTGCTACTGAGCAGGGGAGGGGGGGGGGGGGGGGGGGGGGGGGTAGGTGGATAGCTGCATTGGAACAGTCCTCTCTAATGAGCAGATTGCCTGGGAGAGAGAGAGAGACGCGCACAGATAACGCGGGAGAGAGAGGGAGAGAGACCCAGAGATCCGGAGATCCAGACCAAGACGGCTGCAGGCAGGCGGGCGGCTGTGCGTCAGCGGCCGGCGCTCCGCGGGGAAACATGGAGACGAGCAGGAGATGCTGAGCAGGACGGAGCACCGGGACCACACACGGATGGATGTTATTCCACCCGGCAGGCAGCGTGAAGGCAGCCCACGCAGAGGATAAACCACTTATATGGACGTAGTGGATTAAAGACCTGCGGACACACTGAGACCGGGAGCTGGACAGGAGGAAGCGGGGAGGGGGGTTGGAGAAATGAATCAATCCACTTGTTTATTTTAATTGCCCGTGCGTGCGTGCGTGCGTGTGCGCACTTTCTGCCAGGAGGAGTGTGTGTGCGTGCGTGTGTGCGTGTGCGTGCTGCACACACTGTGCCTGCAGAAGGTGGGAGACTGCATTGCTGCTCTCCAGCTCCACAGCACGGACCGGGGGAGGCGGGCAGGCTGAATACCTGATGTGTTTTGCCCCTTTTTCTCCCCGTGAATTTGCCTGTTCCGCACGGCGAAGGTGTGTGCGCGCGCGCGTGTGTCGGCGGGGCGTGGGAGAGGGTGGGGGGGGGCCGCCGGCTGAGGATGCTGAGAAGACGGAGAAGTCTGAAGTGAGGCGGAGAGAGTGTGACTTTTAGATGTTTTTTCGGGGTCTGACCGTCCAGGGCCAAGCGGGAGCCGAGCGCTTTGTGTGAGAAGCATGGGGCTCTGATCGGGGTGGAGGGTCGGAGCATCCCAGGGCCCCCGGCGGGGAAACTTCTTGGCTCGGCACCCCAGGGAGCTGGTGGCATCATCAGGTAGGAGGCGGCAAACGAGTAGGCCGAGCGAGTGAGCCAGCAGGAGGCAGTGGGAGGAGGCGTGCATGTGGCAGAGCGCGTGGGCCGGCCCGCCGCAGGCCCGAGCCCCCGCTGAGGGAGGATAATGGCCGCCCCGGCCCCCCCCGCCTCCCCCCCCAGCCCCGGACCGGCCGGCGGGCGCTAAGCGGGGCCCAGCGGCCCGGCGGGAGGATGGAGTGAGCGCCCCCCCATCCCCAGCTCACCGGGAGAGCCCCCACTCGGCCTCCGAGGGCCACGTCCCGCCGCCCCCCCCGCTCTCTCCTCCGCTCCCGTCCAGGCCCACGCTTCTCGATTTGTGTGGGAGCCCTCCCACTCCCTTCCACTCCCCCCCCTCCCCCCTCTTCCTCCTCCTCCTCCTCCTCCTCCTCCTCACCCCGACCTCCTCCAACCCACAAACTCGGCTGGATGGATCGCCTCTAGCACCAACCTGTCCTTCCTCTCCCTCCCTGTCTTTTCTTTTTCTTTTCTTTTTCTTTTTGTCGAGGCTTTTGGGGAATTGCCGAGACCTGTTTCATGCATGTCCACTGGCGGCAGGTTCAACTTTGACGATGGGGGGTCATACTGCGGCGGGTGGGAGGAGGGCAAGGCGCATGGCTACGGGATCTGCACGGGACCCAAAGGCCAGGGCGAGTACTGTGGCTCCTGGGCCCACGGCTTCGAGCTGCTGGGCGTCTACACCTGGCCCAGCGGGAACACCTACCAGGGCACCTGGGCCCAGGGCAAGAGACACGGCGTGGGCGTGGAGAACAAAGGCCGCTGGGTGTACAAAGGCGAGTGGACGCACGGCTTCAAAGGACGCTACGGCGTGCGGCAGAGCACGGGCACCAGCGGGAAGTACGAGGGCACCTGGAACAACGGCCTGCAGGACGGATATGGAACCGAGACCTACTCCGACGGAGGTAAGAGAGGCTGGCAGAGTGTGGGGGGGCGCTGCTCGTTCGTGTGGAGCTCTGGAGCATCCCACAGCTCATATTCCTGCAACCAGGACGGCCATATTAGTCCAAGTCTGTTTGTTTGTCCATTTCTTTACATGTACCAAACATACAAAGGAAATACAGAAGAACCTCTACATACGACTTTAACTGGTTCCAGGACCTACTTCAAATATTCCCATCAGAACACACTGTAATCCATATAATTTGTTCCACAGCCCAAAAACCTACAATAACTCCTTAATAAATACTGCAGATAATTAAACATAGCAATAATGCAAATGCATTATATGAGAGAGATGTAAAAAGAAAGAAATTCTAAAGAAATAATCAATAAAAAGCTGTTTTATTGGCAGGTAGAGACTGAGATACAGGACGAACCCTAACTTTCACTACGTGAACTTGAAACTAACTTATCTTATTTATCTTTATTTCATTTTTAGATTTTAGATTTTTTTTCTATGACTTCAACGTATGTTGGAAATTTACTTTGGGTGTCGAGTCAAATATTTGATCGAGTATTTGTATGTTTAGGGCCATCGTAGGCAGAGCTTCTGCTGTACTGCTGTGACATTTGGTAGGTGATGTGCTTAGTGCTGTTTTAACTAAACCAAAAACTACATTTAACTTAGGCTACCTAACAAAATAAATAAGCTCCATTAACATACAGACTAAGAAGCCAAGATCTAAGAACGATCTCCAGGTCTCTTTCTCCTCTTCTTCTCTCTCCTCTGCAAGAGGGCACTTCTGAGCATTTAGAGGCCTCTGATTCAGGCCAGCGGCTCTCTGGGGGGGTGCTTAAGGTTGGTGGGACAGATAAGGACAACAGCTCCCAGGTGACAAAGCCCAAAGCGCTTCGCTTTAGAAAACAAATGAGAGTGTGAAGCGGAAAGGTTTCGGTCGGACCCACGTCTTCATTGTTCTGGTTTGCTTTGTGTGCGCTGAATTAAAAGACAGGCCCAGTTTTCCCGAACATCAAGCCGGCATTTAGGATTCATTGGCCAGACAGATTGATTCCAGACAGAAGTTCTGATTACCTTTTCCTTTAAGTGAAAGAGTTTTTATTTTTCTTGCTGCTTGGTTACACTGATGCCCTTTGACCTTTTTATCCTCCGACAGACAGAAAATCTCACCACATATCTGGGATTTTCTGTTATAAACTCTCAGATTGATTGATGTCACCATTTCAGCGTCCAATCAGAGCCGCCGACTCAGCAAACACTGATGTCAAAGCAGTCAGGAACAGAAAAAGATGGATTTGCACCATGAAGCCTCACAGCTTTCCAGCGAAAAAATGTCCTGGAGTAAAATAGTTGGTCCACAACAAGCCCAGAAAGACACAAAGTCCATGCTGAGGGCAGGATTGCATGTTTTCCATGTGATCCTGGTTTTGCTTCAGAGGCACCACCAGAGTGAATGGTTCTTTGTCCACTCTGTACAAAAATTGGATTTAAACTGTGTTTTTCATTTCTTTTTCGCAAATAATATCAATTCCTGTGATCTTACCCTGATTTTTCACTCTGCTGAGAGGCTCCTGGTGAGACTTTTGATTGGAGTGAATAAAAATTTCAGTCTATTAGGTTCCTGTTTAAATATTCTATTCAGCATAAAACACATAAAATGAAAAGTTTATTGAAAATGTTGTGAGAGCTAAAAACACCAGCCAGCAATGAGAACATGTGATTATTGTAGTTGTCAGGAATTAACTGCAGAAGCATAAAAGCAAAAGCAGAAAATAAAAAATTGATTAAACAGCAACAGCTCAGGAATTTCACTCGAGTCCATTTAAAATGATATGTAAGTAAATTAAAGAATGTTTTCACTAATTAGGACAAAAATCGACCACTTTAAACCTTATTCATGTTTTTATGAAGGCGCAAAATAATGGAAATGACCAAAGCTTGTAATGAAAAACTAATGTTGATTGACACCTCTCAAATATGGATAGAAAATGCTTCTCTTCTTCAATGGAGGCGAACAAACATTATGTCCAGTTGAGGGTTTAAAGCATCTTAAAGCTTTCTGTGTGTTTCATATTTCATTTACCGCCTAAAAAGCCAGCAGAGCAGCAGGTGCAAGAGAAGTAAAGCTGATTCATTAGAAACTTTAACAAAAGCTCGGCCATATTGGAACATCAAAACATCACAAACAGACCAATGAACCAAACAACGATATCACAAAAGACGAGAAACTCCATGCATAGAAAACACGGAACCAAAAAATAATAGGTTTTCTTCTCTCATCAAAGAATTAAACACCCAGAATTTTGAATAAACACTTTGATAAAAAGCTAAGAATTCAATTATTCACCCCGTCGTGCGCCGAGAGGCCTCCTCGTTAACAGACGGTCGTCTGATCAGTGGAACATTTGCCATGAAATTGAAATCAGGCCCAGTTTGATTCTCTGAGACTGCAGCTCGGTTCGATCTGCGTTACAGAGACAGGCGACGTGGGCCTAAAAATAGAAGCACACACACGGGCACGCCGCTCATGCAAAAAGCGGCGGACACACATGAAATCTGATGGCATGCGGGAGCTCTCTGCCTCGGCCCGGTTATGTAACCCCACGGTGGGCCGAGCAGGAGCGGAAATCCACCGGCCGGACTCAGCTGATGGGCCGATTTGGGACAAAAGAGGAGAGGTCAGCCTGGTAGAAAACCGGGCAGATGGGCTTAGATAATGCACAGAAAAGGGGAATAACGAGTCTGTGGCTGGGTGGGTGATCATGACGATTATTATGGGAGACGCTTCCTAATCAGGAGATGAGCGAGATCATTACAGAGATGGACCTCCCAGAGAGGGAGGTGCTGGAGGATAGCTGGAGCTGTGTGGAGTATCTGAACCCACATATGGGGAATGCAGCAGAGATTGGCCTAGTTATGAGTGTTTATCTAGCTCCAACGGTACACAGTGTCCTTATTATAACAGCAGGCATCTGACCTTTAAATAGATCTGTAAGATTAATATGATTTTGTTTGCAGAGCTAAATTATTCAAAAACAGCAAGTCAGGGGAGACTGATGTGTAGCTACAGAGGCGACGGTTCTCCAGGTTAATGATTGTTTTACCGTATAATCAACCCTTGATTCACTCTTTTCTTTCTGTATTAGATTGATTTTACTTAACAGAGCTAAGTTAAAACCTCCTAGCGAAGAAAGTGCCGGATATTATGCTGTACAGTGCAAAAATCTCCCAAAGTTGCTTTATATATTTCTGTAAAAATCAGGAAAGGGGTGCAGGGATTTGCTGAACATATCAGTGAGCTCCTTCCGCCTCCATATCTGAAGCAGCTCTGCAGGCTTCTTGAAGGCCGTCCCAAAGCTCGGCTTTGGATGTGGGCTGGGGTGTTTGAAGGGAAATTATCAAACAGAGGACGCTTAAGAGGCTGACTTTGAACAATTTGTGAGCTCACAACACAGAGAGAATAATAAATTGTCCCATAAAATGTTCATTTATGAATGATGATCGGAACAAAGAAAGAATGACAAAAGCTAGTTTGCTGTTGGTGGTTTGTCTTGTTTCAGGGGAAACACAAAAATGTGTCCCAAACACAACAAAATGGGTGAATCTTTGCAGAAAAGTGCATCACTCACTCCTCTAATGGGTCATGAGAGGTGACTGATTGATCTTTGGACTTTATGCAGCTCATGAAAGGCGACCAACAGGAGTTATAGCTCATCGAGTCAGACTGTAGGCCTAATCATACTCCTGAATTAGCCCTTTATACTTTATTCTGCTCTTAACATTTTTGCTTTAACTTTAGAAAAAGAATCTGGTTTGGACTTCTGGGAAAACTGTGAAACACCAAAGTCTGACACCAAAGTCTGAAATCTAAGCAATTAGAGCTGGGGGATCATTTTGGACTTCCTGCTTTAGAAAAATGCCACTTTGAGCTGGAGGACAACAGCTGGACTATTTTCTGGCATTCAAAACCCCTGAGATGCTTTGGGATCAGCATCCTGATAGCATTTGTCGTGGTTTTCAGTGGTTTCCCATCTTCCTGTGAGCCTCTTATCAGAACCAGAGTGGAAAAAATTCGCACTTTCAGCTCAAAATTTCAGTAAATGAGCAAATATTTCAGAAAGAATTGGAAAATACATGATGATGTGCTGGGAAAGGCTTCACTGAGAAGGAGAAACTGAAACTTTTGCAGATTATTTAATACTTCTGTCTTCATAGGTAGCCAGAGCAGACCTGGGGGGGCAGAGGGGGGGTAACTGGTGGGTTGGGGGTTGTTTTGGTTGCTCTCATGTCGAAGCTGAGGCCCTCCTCTTCCTCCATCGCTGCGCTGCGTTTCCACGGAGCCGCTCTGTACAGTAGGGTTCCCATAGCAACGCTCGCCGACGTGCAGCAGGTCACTGTGTCGCGAGGGACCGCGCGTCCCGCTCCGCCATTGGCCGCCCGGGCCGGCCTTGCCGCGCTCTGATTGGCTGACGCGGCCTTCCGGGTTGATGGGTGTTTACGGAGACGAGGAGCTAAGCCGCCTGATTAGCAGCCGCACAGGCGGAGGCAGAGAGAGAGGCGGCGGGGCAGATAAATGAAAAGACAGCACAGATTCGTTTAATCACTTTAGTGAGAAATGGAGTCACAAAGAGAGATTACAGCTGTCATTGTGCTCGGCCGTCGTAGCTGCGAGAGATTACAGCAGAAATAGCTGCTGCGTGTGAATGGCTAGCATCCTGGAGTCAGCCCCTCAGAGCCCCCCCTGTTAAACTACACCAGGTGGGGGGGAAACTGGGCAGAAAATGGGTAATTCTGGGCCGGTAATTCTTCACAGATAACTCAGTTTCCTCTGGTCCGCCGTAACGTTGGTCCCAGACACGCTAATGATGGCGTCATTGATTAGCCTCCCTGTTATGTAAGGCCAATATACCGCGAAGCACGGCCTGTTTTTACCCACTGGTTTGGGGGTTTTATTGGGTGGTATTTTGTCCTTCTTCGTCACTCTTTCTCTGGTGAGTTGGTTTCTTAGTTTCTGGTCATTTTTCAGGGTTTCCTCCTGTTATGGTCTCTAACTGGACCTTTCTCACCTGTTCTTGTCCCAAAACTGCTTTATACCAATCTTTATTTGTTTCAATCAAACAATAAATCAATCAATCATTCTTTATTCCAGACACAAGCAAAAACGAAGGAGATTTTAAAAAAAGATATACAAAAGTCAGCACATTATGTTCACTGTTTCAGAAATACAATTCTCTCTTCTTCTTCTGCTTAGCTTTCTACTTTCTGGAAAACTTTTTCCTATCTTTTACAGTAAATCTTAGTTTGCGCCTAACGCCTCGTGCTTTACGCCCCTCACACTGAGACACGAAGCCTTCCATACGGCAGATGAAAAGTCCAGAAAAAGTTATGCTGCCCTCATTTCACCACCACATACATATCATACACTTTAAAATAGGAGCACATGCCTGTCTCCTGAGGTACTTTCTGGACTCCTGTACCTTTGAACTGGACCCAAAGGAACATATTTGTTCTTTTAGAGGCGCTGAAAGGCACACTTACTGTATGTTCACAAGTAGTGAATGGAGGTCTCTTTGGACCCCTAAAGGACCAAAAAACTAGACAAAAAGTCCTGCAAAGTTAAACAGGCCTGATTTCGGCTGAAAAAACCACAGGATTTTGTCCATTTAATCGGAAACAAGTCATTTTCTGGGATGCTTTAACAGCATCCTTCTCCCTGACACCACCTCCAGAGTGGGGGTGGGCTCCCAACAGGCAATATGGACGGCCTCAGAGGCTGCTGGGGGGGTGGTGATTCTGGTAGGTGTGGTGAGGAGGAGCCCGACGGAGACGGGCAGGTGGAGGTCGACTGAATTAACCTGCAGCTCCGGGGGGGTTTCTGGGGCTTTCCTACCTAAAGTGAATGGATTATGTCTCTATAATTACAAACTGTGGGTGAAAAATCCTGCTGTCAATTTTTTAGCTAACACCTGTGGGCATCCATCCAACCTCTTTAAGGGTTTACTGCTCTAAAAGTAGAACTAAAAGTCGGTGAGAAGGTGAGCAGGCGGGGGGGGATTACGGGTCTGAATGCCAGGGAACTCCTAACCTGGTCCTGGAGCGCCGCCGTCCTGCACGTTTAAGGCCTTTTTCTGCTCCAACACACCTGACTCAGATCACTGCGCTGTTGGCAGATAGGCTAAAGCCGACAGTACATGACCCCCTCCCAGCCCCTGCTCATCTTAGAGCTGAAATCAGAAATAGTTCTCTAAAAAAATCCCTCGATTATTAATTCCCCTGTTAATTGCTTTGGATAAAGGACCCTTCCTGGGAGGCTTTGGGCTCCTGAACGTGGCCTGTGGACCCTGAGTATGGGGGGGGGGGGGTTTGCTGTGAGGCGGCTGTCAGCACCACTCAGCTGCTCCTCTCTGAGTTCCCTCACAGCCAGTCAGTGACGTCAGGGTTTTTGAGAAGCACTTGACTTCTGGCAGGTTTGTGTTGGAGAGCCCAAAAGGAAATGATTTGCCCCCCCTTGCCCTCGTTCTCCCTCCGGTTGCTGGAATACGACGTTTAGCTGCTGTTTGAGTCACATCCATTTCAAAATGCTCCTGGAAATGCAGCTTCAATAACAAATGACAGAAATATATTAAATGCTTCATTAAACACACATAAGGATTCATTTAGAAATATTTTCTTATCATATTTAGACCCTGGATATATAATAATGTGGCAGTAATGGCAAATAAATGAATAATGAGGACAGGATTAATAAATGTATATAAAGGAAAATAAAGACAGTACAATTTAAAAGAATGAAAGTCATCAAGATATAAACATTTAATTGTATGAAAAAAATTGAATAAGAAAAGTAAAAAGTAAATAACTGGTGACTTTATTAAGAATAAAACAAATGCAAATTTTAGGAATAAAGTTTTAACACAAAGGTTAAAAACGTTCAAAATACAGGTTAATTTAATTTACTTTCATATTTTTTCAATATAAACTGATTTATACACTTTTGAAGTTCCTTATATAGTTCTTTATAATTTATAACTACGCATGTAAACAGACAGAAGTTGTGGGTCTATTTTTAAGACTTCTCATAAACAAATTACATACAGTACATTTCCCTGTAATTGTTATCAAGCTGTTCGAACAATCCAACCAGAAAGACACTCAGAGAAACACACAAAACTCCAACACAAACACACACAAACCCAATACAGGCTGTTTGTTGGCATGAACACAATGTTTATTAGTTAATTAGAGTAAAGTCTGGATTAGTCGGACCTGGGAGACGCTCACAGCTTTTCAC